CACTTTAAGAAACATCTACCTGATTGGCTGCCCCTTGCAAACAGAAGGTTTGACCAGCAGGAGCTGGTGAGACGACCATAGGATGTCAGCTCTCTTTGAGCTTGATCAGCATGCACTGTTATAAGAGCACATATTACAGAAAATAAGGAAAAGTGCAGTGAGTCCACTTCAGTGATAAGTTAACTATTGATCGTATTTTCTTTATTTGAAAACTACATTCAAAATGAGAAACTAGCCTCCACCTGAATGGAGCTCACCTCCGCTCACCCTCATCCTTTTCTGTAGCTGTTTCACGCCACCTCTTATTAGACCTCTGCTCTCTGAAGCGTTAACTTTCATTACTTTTGTTTTTTCCTCCCCTCTCTCTGCCTACACAGATTCAGCAGATGGCAGACAACATTGCAGCAGACATTGACAAGCATCTTGCAGCCAAGACCAAGGAGCTGTTAGGCTGACTGTGGAACTTGTTATATGTGTCACTGTGAAACAGAGGACACTCTAAAAAGCAGCAACATATCCTTCTTTTTTTCATCTTGTTAATAGACAGTGACTGGATCATGTTGGGGAGGTAGTTTTTGTTCAAACTGCATCTTGGGCTCTTGTTCCTGCCCACATCACTGGGTAAGACCACCTTCTTCTTTTTCTTTTTTTCTTTTTTTTTTTTTTTTTGCTGCGTCGTGATATCTGCATAAACAAAAACTGGTACAAAAACGACAACAGACTACCCGTCACCTCCCTCCTCCCTTGTTACTCTTCCTGTCTTCAAACAAACAGCGAGAAAGCAACGAATGGACTTTTAATGGGATTTGTGGGCCTCCTCCTAATCAAACCCTTTGCCACAGGGCCTGTCTGTTTATATAAAAGCAAGCGCACCCGTCTCAATGTAAACTGGCTGCGGGTTTGTCTTGGTGGCAAGAGCAAAAGCGAGTTTGTTCCAGAGACATAGGAGTCGACCGAACAGATGCCATTAAGATGCTGCCAAACATTTGTTTCACATTGATTCCAAGTCTGTTAAAATGCACTTGAGGGGGGAAAAAAGGGGGCCTTTAATTTCTGTCCATGTTGAGGATTGATAATATGGCTACTCTCTTCTTTAAACACAATAAAGTTGGGAACGTAACATTATTGATGGAGTCCATTAAAGAAACGCTGCTTTGTACCATGTGCGTCATCTTGTTCTCTCTTGTTTTCTTTTCATTTTCTCCACTTTATGTTTGAAGTCGCTCCCTCCTCCATTAGTTGGAGTGATAATGGACTTTTCCTGCGCACAGACCCCTAGGCCCTGGCACTACAATTGTCCATTAGGAGAAGGCTTTTAATGTTGTGCACTTGGCCTTTGCCTTGAAATAGCTGCACTCAGGAACTGTAGCGCAATAGCTGTTGAAACCAACATATGTTTGAATGAGAAACCCAGCGACACTCACTCACACACACAAACCCTGCTTTCATGTATGTGCTGTTTACAGCCATTATGTGGTCTGTGTCATCGTCTTTATCGTGATTTGTTTTGCTTCTTCCGCTACTGGTCACAGGCGGCCCACAAGTCAGACAGGTTTTATTTTAAGTTTGCCCACACACTTGGTCCTACAGCTACACAGTTGATTGGAGACCACAGAGCTCCAATTTTGCATCAGCTAGTTACATTTTAATCAGAGTGCCTTCAGACTTATTAAAAATGAATTGAGAAACAGTAACAAACCACATTTCTCTTTGGTATTTGGTAGCCACGCTGTGTTTCTGGTTAGAGGTTGTGACTTTTTTATGTTATTATATTTGCTCTGTCTCCTTCAATGGCTTTTCTTTAATGGCCTAAACAGTCCAGAGTCACTGGATAAACAAGAGTTTAGCAGAGGAGTGGCTGGGTTGGGACAGAGGAGGGGTGGGGTGGAAATGGCAGGTTTTTGTGGTGATTCTAGGTCCATATGTCAGCAATTTGAGGGCATTGTGTACCTTGGCCTAAAACAGAGGCTTCATGATCGATGGAGGGGTGAAAATCTCCCAAGTTCCTGGCGCAGAACACAGGCAAGCACAAGGAAATTGCTTTCAGCTGATAGCTTCATTTTGGTTGACATTTATCAAGTGAATTACCCCTGTTCCTTTCAAATGTTTACTACTACTACTAGCACCGCCTTTTGACGTGCGTGCATGTGCTTGAGACTGCGCTCGTGTGCGAGCGAGAGCGGTGGAGGTTTGTCTTTGTGTCTTTGGTGTGTCCTTTGGCGATTCCTCACAAAAATATACAAGTCTAAATTAGTTCAGTAAACGTTTGATTTGATAGCCGAGGCTTTTATCCCAGGCTGGTGTGCAGAGGAAAAGATAACCAGACACACACCCAAAAATCACTGCTTTTACTCACAACGGCCTTTATAAAAATGTCATTTTACTGAAATAAAACATTTTTTAAAAGTGTCGACTATTAAAAACAGGTTTTCAAGAACAAGGACCAAAACCAACTGAATTAAGAATAATTTCTGCAGCAGAGGAGTTAAAATCCATGAACAACCTTTATGACTGATATAAGTAGAAAATGTGAAGTTTGCTAACAAACAGTTAGCCAGTTAGCTAAGCTATTTGCAACTGTTGCACCCTAACAGCCCTGTTGATGGACTAAAACCAGGCTGCTCATATTCAAACTGATAATTGGATCTATACTACTGTAAGTCTCTCGAGTGCAGTTTGTTAAACGTCTCTGCTGTCCACAAGTATTAGCTTACTGCTTTAACCAATGGAAGCATTGTTTCTGTACTAAAAAACAAACAAACAAACCTTTGCCACGCAAAGTTTAATTTTTGATGTATTATTTCAATCTAAGTTTTAGTTGGTATGTAAGTTGAGTTTTTGACTTACAGATGGCAAAATCAATTTTTTTCAGTGGTGGAAACTAGCTTTCATGAATTCCTCTGTAAAGAATGAAAGTTGTGAAAGGTTGAAAGGTTTGTACTGCAGGCTAACAATTTTAGTGAAGTTTCTTTTTTTTTTGCTATTTAAATTGCTTACATTTTTTTTTTATATAATCTTAGCCAGTGTCTATGTATTTCAGCAGGTATTCACTATATTTACTGAATTAGTTTTAATATATTGTTAGCTAAAGGTTTAGCTGCTAGCTATACTTTTAGCAACTATAATCGCAATTTTTTTTTTAATGTTAGTTAGCTTCTGTATTAGTTATTCACTATGTCTAACTAACAGTTTCATGTATTTACACATACAGTATATAAGATTGAGTGACGACATTAAAAAAAAAACTGAACTTTGAGAGAATTTCAGCAGAAATGCTGGTATAAGTTTAACTAGCAAGAGGGAAAAATGTTTGGTTTTGCAACTAAACTAGAGTCTCAAAATGCTCAATGTTTTTGAGCATTTTTGTGATATTTGACTGAACATAAAGCATCTATGTGACCAATGAAATCAATGTTTATTTAGACAGTGCTTCAAATTAACTACCTAGGTAAGTGCCCAAAAGCATTTCAAAATGGCTGCCAAGTGGAGACCCTTGCTGCTGTGAAGACTTGAAGTGTTTACTAGGTTTAGTAAGTTCAGCCTATTTATCAAATATTCTTGGCTGTTATTTTCTATGACACTCAATTAGTTGTGATAGTAGCACCCCTGAAGAACAGGTACCATCAGACCGCTGTACGGTAAATTAACTAAAAGTGCATTTTAGTGCTTAAAGTGTTTATTAGCAGGGAAAACTTTCAGGTTGTTTTTAAAAACATATATATTCTGGTGTCTGGGTGTAGCACGAGAACAGCAGCTTCCGTCCTCTCTCTGTCTACACAGGAAGTGTTTAGGCCCAGAGCTTTAGGTCACCCCCGTTTGGCAGAACTCGTAGCCCAAACACACAATTAATTTAATCACAGGAAAATGGACCTGAAGCATTAAAATGCACTTGGGCATGGACTTAAACACATATAGTGCAAGTAAAACTAAGCCAGCGTGCGTGACTGAAAAGTGCATGTGAAATGCTTGGGTGTGGACTCGCCTGCGCTCACACTCATGCGCTTTCTCTCTCACCTTTCATGCAGATTTGTCTCCTGCATTATTCATACACGTTGAGGGAATCTGGTGACAATAGCGTAATATGAATTCTGTTATGTTGTGTAGCCCGTGTATGTCTCGGAAAAGGAGCAGGAGTCTATATTATATGGAGGCTCTCTGCCTGCTCTCTTCCTTCTGTGCCGCCTCTGATTACAGCCCGAGCCGCGGCGCTCCTGCTGCAGCTGAAACCGACGAGGAGGACGTGGAGTTGGGCGATGACGGAGCGGACCACTTCAACGTAGTCAGAATTGGATTGATCCCACATACACACCTCTCATCTCCTCCTTCTCCCCTCTTTCTCTTCTCATCTCCTCTGGAGTGTGAAGAGCACCAGAGTGTGAGAAGCCACCCTGAAGATCTCATCAAGGATCCAATCAGTGTATGAATACAAAATGCAGGCTCCTCTTGCGATGTGATGATGGGGGAAACGAGAGCCTGTTTGGAAGAAAAAAAAAATCTCTGCATATGCAAATTGAACTTAAAATTTAAATGAATTAGAGTGTCTCTGACCCTTTCAGGGATGTACTAACAGGCTCTGAGGGAAAGAATCCGCGCAGATTAGCCTATTAATATTTATGTGTGTAATTGGTGGGCTGCGTGGCGTGAGGCCTGGTTGCGCCTGGTGGCATGTGGACCACGTTCAGGCTTAATCCAGGTGGGCGCTCTTGCTGCCTCTAACAGGGAAATGATCGACCATTTTAGGAGGAAGCTGGATATCCTAATAATCACGTAAACCAATACTGGGTAGTGAGAGTGTTTCCTTCCGGAGCTGTTGGCACGTCAGTCATTCACAGAATTGCTCCTGTCTGGTCTGCGAGCCATTTTAACTCAATGGAGCGGCCGCCGCCCCACCCCCTTGGTGCGTTTAGAGAGGACCACACGGGGCCTCTTTGGATAGCTACTACACCCGCGAGGAGGCTCCCCAACCATCACAGGGACCAACCAGACGTTCCAGCACACACACACTTGCGCACACACACACCTCCCGGTTCTCAAATCTGAACAAAGCGTGCCTCAGTCTAAAGTGGTTAAACTGTCATTTCAAATCGTCTGGACATCGTGATTACCGGCATGGGAGGAATTATATATTTAGCTTTATGTCCGTCGCCATTTCCTCCCCCCGCCCTGATCTGAAGTGACTAGCCAGTAGTGCCCTCGATATTACTATCTCTGAGGAGTTTAAGCCTTCCCCCAGGAGACGAGAGTAATCAACGGCTGCCAGCAGGAGAGAGGGAGAGGGAAGGAGAGAGGATGAGAGGTGTGGGGTGGGTGGTGCTGGAGGCTTGGAGTGATGAGATGGTGGAGGGAATGGCGATGGACCTGGTTTCTGGATATATCAGTTTATTTAATAGAAAGCATGAAAAAAATTCTTTTTGAGCAATGTTGTTATAACAAATAATTTTTTCCTCTTTTTTTCTTCCATTTTCAAATCTAAAGATTAATAGAGCCAGCTGTGGTACAACAATATTATATTGTATATATTGTACTATATCCACAGCAGGTAAAATATCCTTTGGAAAAGGCTCTATTTTAGTAGGTCATCTGTCATTAAGACCATTAAGTTACATTGTATCATTTTTTCAGCACTTTTAAGACATTTTTAAGAAGTAAAAAATCCTGTTGCAATGAACTGCAAAACACTTAGCCTTTATTTTACCGATGACCTAAATGTAACCCAGTTTGTACTCTGTAAATCCTCATGATAAGGGACAATAGCTGATAAAAGGAAAAGTGTAACTGTTGATGCTGGTAACACTGTTTTCTCCACACTCCCGGCCAGTCTCCAGCATTTCATCCATCCTGAAGAGACCCATTCATCCTCAATAACGTCACTGCTCGATCATCAATAAAAGTGACCTGTAGGAAAGCAGATGAACGCAGCCAACCGACTGGACAGGAAGCCTGTTAATCTGCAACTCAATCCAGCCCTAGTCTAGTGAAACCTGGCTCAGCTTGGCTGACCGAGGCCTGCGAGGAAGGAAGTGAAGGACTCAGGAAGCAGTGTTCAGAGCTTTCACCAGTCATATCCATCACATAGCGCAGTGTTGGAAGCATATGTGCGGGTGTGTGTGTGTGTGTGCGCACGCCTGTTTCGCCAGTCATATCCATCACAGGGCTCTG